AATATATTTGTCTTTTTCACGTACATTAGGAAATAATAGGATTTATTAGTCACTCAAGATGTAAGATGATTTTGATACTTTTGTCCTTGAAATTACAAAGAAAATGGATAGATTTGTAACAATCAGGAGTATTTCGTATTTATAAATATAATTATTTTTATTATAATTAGAAATCAATACTTTTTAATGGACAAACAAAAATGATAAAAATAATAAATTGAGTTGAAACGAAAAAAATACCCTCTTCGTCTCATAACAAAGTATCAATTTTTTTATTTTAGTTCGTCCCATAACAAAGTATTCATTTCCTTTTTTAGTAACTGTGCTATCTACCTAACATTACAAATACCCTTACAACTTACAATACATTATACAAATGTCATTACGTTTATATCACATATACTAACAAAGTTATTTTATTTCTAAAACTAATATCCCAATATAATATTTATATCACAGGTACTAACAAAGTTATTTTATTTTACTTTATTCCTACTATATCCCAATATAATACTAATATTTCTAACGTGTAAAAAACAAATAAATACTTCTTTTTGGGACGGAAGGAGTATTATTTACCAAAATTACTTTTTTTTTTTAATCCAAAAAACTCCACAAAGAAAATATGTTGTGAGAATTAAAAATGGGGGAACTCATATCATTCTCAAATATTATATAATTTTATTCTCAATCCAAAATATACTTATTAATGCTATTTCCGTCTCAATCCAAAATATACTTAGTAATTTTATTCTCAAATATTATACTCCCTCCGTCCACGGATAAAGTAACTGTTTAAAGAATAATAATATTTTAATTGTAGTGGGCAGTTAAAAGTAGTGTAATGACATTTTTACCGTTGCTGTGGAAAAAAATGAGGTATTTAATGAAATATTTACTTTGTAATTGAACATTCCAAAATAGAAATGTATATACTTTCTAGTTGGACAGAAGGAATATAATTTTATTCTCAATCCAAAAAATTCCTTCTGTAATGCATACATATACTTATTAATACCATTTTGTCCATAAAAATTGTGTTTATTTTACTATTTTTGTTTATCACCAAAAATATATTTATACTATATTTAATAAAATATTAATTATTCATTAAAATTTCTAACCACTAAAATTTCGCTTATTTACATTATTGTCATTGATAAAAAGTAGTTATGGTCAGTTAAAAATAAAAATATTATTAAGTAAACTTAGTTTTTATACCTTTTTTCACTAAGTACAGTTTTTCATAAAAATACATTATTTCGTCTTATAAAATATTATATTAAAATACTTTTTAAATGAAAATTGAAATCAACTATTCATTTCAAATTCATTACAAATCACAATTTGTTTTTAAAAATTTATTAAAATTATTCTTATAGATACATTGAAATATAAAAAAGAAATTACTTATTTGTGTCTGTTTACTCAAAAATATCTCTTTTTTATTTTAGTAAAAAGTAGTCATAAATTACTTATTTGTGAATGTTTACTAAAAAAAATATCTATCATTAATTTTAGTAAAAGTAGTCATAGGCTTGGTTCACCCATCATTTATTTCAATAATTGTAATTTTTTTTTAGTAATTGACTTATAACAAATATTTTAGTTTTTATTAATATATAATCAAGATAAATATAAATATAATAATTTATAAAAAAATGAAGTAAAATAAATAAACAAAATTAAAGCATAAACAAGACTTTTTAATTTTTTGATAATTAAATAAAACTATTTAAAATACATAGTTTAAATGTATATGTGATATATTAAATTTATATATTTAATATTAAAAATGAAAATATATGTAATTAATAAATAAATTTTAAGTAACAAATATTTCATATTTATAGGCATAAATATTGCAACTTATTCTATTTTAATCTATATTTAAAAAAATCAATTAAATATAAAAATATTATTTATTATAAAAATAATTAATAATAAACTGTAAATCTAATAATAAAAAGTAAAAAATTGTAATTACAAAAAAAAAAAAAAAAAGAAAAAAATTCAAAATGGATTGCAAAATTTTTAGTCTCTTTATTTAGTTAGGTTTTTTTATTCGCAGCGGAGTGGTAGAGCATTCGATTGCATATCACAATATTTTGCAATTTTGGATAATAATTTTATTTGTTTAATTGTTCGAATAAATTGAACTTATTCTACATTTATTTTTTAATTTTTTAATTTTTTTGGTTGCGATAGTAACATAAATTCATTTTTTATTTACAATAATGAATATTTTTTTCTTTGCTTTTTTTTTACTGTACTAATAATTTCTAATCAATAAAAATAACAAAAAAATAAAATTTACAATAACAAAGTATAATTTATTTCAATTTCAGGTTTAATACTTTTTATTATCTGAAAATGTATTATTGTTTATATATATATATATATATATACACACGTTATATTAATCATTTGATTTATAGGCATTTATATTTGTCACAACTATGAACAAACAACTAAAATTAAATGATCTAATTGTCATAACTCAATTTTTAGAATTTTCTTTATATCTAAAACTATTATACTAAGTATTCAATCACTATAATTTTCTAAAATATATAAGATTTTTAAATAATAAATTTTACACATGAGCTTGTCACTTATTTATATTTGAATTTTTTAATAATAATAATAATAATAATAATAATAATAAATTTTACACATGAGCTTGTACATATGAAGTAGGGGCATTTTGGTCTTTTAAAAATATTTTTACATCCATTGTCAATATAATACTATTATTCTTAATTGTATTTATTTCTAAATGTCTATATTGTTTTAGAACGAAGGAAGTATATGTCAGTTAGGTTTTGAGTGTCTGAACTCACGATCTCACGGTTATGAGTCCATCCTCATCCCACTAAACCATCCTTACGGGCTTCATTCTCTCTTCTTTTAGAAATAGAAAGATTGCTACTGTGCATCGAAAATTTCACTACTGTAAAGATTTTCAGTTTTGTCTTTCCCACAGTGGCTATGTTTTTATCGATAATATATATATATATATATTTTTATGAACTATTAGTTTGTTTGGCTTTGTGTTTTAACTTTAGTTTTTGATTGAAACAATAATTTGAATATAATATTTTGTAAAATAAAATAAATTATTTTTTTATAATTCCCAAAAAAATGATTTACAAGTGATTGTGCTCAACGTAGAAATTTACCCAATCTCTACTTTATATTAATATATATATATGAATGTCTATTAACAATTTGACAATATACTAATAATCTATCTAATACTTATTATATATATTGTTAACATGTGTATTTTTTTTTTCTTTATGACGTGGAATGTATTGTTTATTTTATTTTATATATGCATTTTGTTAAGATATATCTTATTTGATAGATCAATTACAGTATGTTGTTAATTATGTATTTGTATTTTTATTAATGAACTTATATGTATTATGTATAGTTTATTTAACGGGTGAAATTAATTATAATATCTATTGTACAAACTATTGTTATGTATCGTGTTGTTAGTTTATATGTCACGTGTTGTCGGTATATATTTTATTAACATTGTATCAATTAAATTATAGTTAGTATAATAACAATTAATTATATCAAACACTATTCTTCCCCGTGATTTAGAAACTACTTGGGCTTCTTCATATTTTTTAAAATATTGAACATAATTTCCTAAAAATTATGCAAAACTTCTTCGTATTTTCGAAAATATTGCACATAAATCCTTAAAATAGAGATTTTGTGCCATATTTTTTAATACATAAAGAGTTTTCATGCTATTTCTGAACCATAAAAAAGAATGACACAGACTTTCCAAATCATATGTGAATTATAAACAATTGGCAAAATAGCAAAAAACTCCCCGGTGGTTTTTCGAAATTGCTGAAAACCCCCCGTGGTTCTAAAACTCCCCGGTGGTTTTTCGAAATTGCTGAAAACCCCTCGTGGTTCTAAAACTCCAAAAAATCTACTTGTGATTTCCAAAATATTGCAAAAAATCCCCCTCCGTTAGGATTTAACGGCAGTTGTATATCAAGCGCCTGAAATGCGATAGATTTCTGTGTAAAATTACTAAAATACCCTAAGACTTCTTCTTCCTTATTCTTCTTCTCCCTCGTTCTTCTTCTTCCTTATTCTTCTTTTTTCTTATTGTTATCGATACTTTCAGAATTTAATCTCAATTCATTTTTTTTTTATTTAAAATCCGCTAAACACAACCAAATTTGAAACCGATCCCAAATTTATCACAATTAATCGATTTTACCAAACCCAAAAATATTTCTTCTTGTGTTTTACAAGACCTAGAAATACTTCTTTTGTTTTAGCAAACCCAAAAATTTAAGAAATCAATTTGACATCAAGATTTGAAATTAATCTAAGAAGAAAGAAAGAATCTGTTGCTGGTTGCAACGGCGTACGGAAGAATTGGGGAGAAAAAATAAAGAAGAAAGAAAATTGGGGAAAAAGAGATAGAGAAAGAAGAAAGAAAAACCTGCTTGCTTCTGGTTGCAATGACGTACAGAAGAATTTGAGAGAAAAAATAAAGAAGAAAGAAAATTGAAAAAAAAAAGAAATAGAAAAATAAAAATAAAATTGGAGAAAAAAAAAAAAAACTGGTGTCGAGCCCCTTCTTCCTCCTCTTCTTCTTTTCCTTCTCTTCTTTCTTCTCTTTCTTTTCTTCCTTCTTTCTTCCCTACTCCAGCCGCTTCTGCCCGTCATCTTCTTTCTATTCTTATTCTTTTTCAATTCTTCATTTTTCAAAGAAGAATTGGAGATGAAGAAGAAGAAAAATAAAATTGAGGAAAAAGATGTGTGAAGAAAATTTGGGGAAGAAAAGAAGATGGAAGAAAGAAGTCGGAGAGAAGAGAAAAGAATGAATCGAAGAAGAAAGAACAGAAGAAGAGAGATAAATAAACTAAAAAATATATAAGTAAGGGTATAACTGTCAAATTTGATAAAATTTAACGTCTGTTAGTCAAATTTAAAAAGCGGGAGAGTGTGCAACATTTTGGAAAACACAAGTATGTTTTTTGGAATTTTAGAACCACGAGGGTTTTCAGCGAATTCGTAAAACTACAGGGGGTTTTTTGCTATTTTGCCTAAACAATTTTATCAACAATCGCCGTATATGTATATACGTGTGTGACACATAACTTTTAGCAAGAAATAGGATACCCATTTTCACTAACTATTCACTCTATCAATTGAACAGCTGCAATGGTTGGTATTTTTTCTCTAAGCTTTTGTGTGAGAGCCACTCTCACTGTCATCACCCCGGCCGCCGGTCCGCCAAGCCGTACTTTTACAATATAGTCTATGATCTGAACGAGTTCGAGTTCCCCACCACCGGTGCCGGCAAGATATGGTCTGATCTCAGATAGAACCTGTAGATTAAAATAAGTGAAGCTCGCCCCATAGCGCTATGGTTACTAACATATAAATAAATCGATTTCTTGAATGTAAATGAAAGACCGCAAAGTGTTTCTTACCTAGGGCTGTTATTCGAGCCAAGTATCTCATTTTCAAACTCGACTACTGAGCTTAAAGTCAAATTTAAAGCTCGTTAGAAGTATCCTATTTTTATCAAACTCGGGTTTTATTTATTACATACACCCTTCAATTTCTAATTTAATAAACATGGTCTACACACAATTATAGAATACCTTGTTCACCAAACCTATTTTTGAGTAGCACAATTTCCAATAAATAGTATAAAATAATACAATGTATATTCTATTCACCCACAAAAAGTTAACAATTCAATAAAAAAAAATTAATTTTTATATTATCGGTACGATTCTCTATACTTAATATAAATGTAGGTTCATCCAAAAACACAAAAGTGAACACATATTTCACCTAAAATTAATTACCAGTAACCAACTTATCAATTGTATTTTCAAGAATATTTTAATCAATACACTTTTCTACAACATCTACTACAAATAAAATACTCTTTCATCCAAAAATATTTTGCAACTTTTCCTCCTTTTTAAGTAGGTTTTTCTTCCTTACCCTTATAATTTACAATTTTTATAAAATTATTTAAAATAAAAGGCATAGACAAAATTGTCAAAAAAAAATCAAAAAATATACCTTTTATCATTTTCATCCATTCAATGACAATGGGTATGTTTGTTCAAGCCTTTTCCGGAATTGCAATTTTCAAAAAATATATTTAATAGTAATTTTTTACACAATTCTCCGTACTGTATATTAAATATAAATTTTTTTTAAAAAATTAATATTTATTATAAAAATTCAAAAAAGTCAAAGATTCCATTTAAATAATATATTTTATATTTTTAGCATAATTTCTCATACCACATCTAAAAAATCAAATTCATCTAAAAGTTGGTTGAAGAGAGTCAATATATATATATATATATTTGTTTTTAGTAAATTTGATATTAACTATATATTATAAATACCCTCAAATTTATAATTATTTACATCAATATTGTTACACGAAATTTAAAAAATTTAAAAACAAGGGCATAAATATCCTCAAATCTATACTTACTTACATCAAATTAAGAAACGAAAGATTTTTTTTTTTTCAAATTTTATGTTAAAAATAAATGTATAGACATGGACACAGAGAGTATCATCTAAAAAGTACCGAATCAAAAGTAAACATGCCAAAATTATAGGATAAAGGAAGTACTATTATTCTTTAACCTATGCAGCAAAGTAAATCCATACGTACATAATCAATGGAGAAAGTAGTAAATATTTAATAAAAGTATAAACCGAATACCTTTCGAGCCTTATTGAGTCAAGTATGCTAAACTCAATTTTTCGAGCTCAAACTTGACTCATTAGTATGCTTATAAACATACGAGTCGAGCTCGAATTATTCCCCTACACTCGAGAAAATTCACAATCAACCAAAGCAATCGCTATTCGTTTTCTATGAAAATTCGCGTCTAATCCCTTAATCGAGCACAACTATTCAAAAGATTTTCATCTTCTTTTCATCAAACCGTTTGTAAATAAACACAAACACAATCAAGTAGCCACTTCACAAGAGATTTGGATATCATATCGAAAACCAAAGATCCAAAATTCGTATTAAAATAGGAAAGAAGAAGAATGAATTTTATTACCTTCTCTATATTCTCTTCATTCAACTCTAGGCCTGTTTCTGTATCGAGGATCTGCTCAACAGCTTCGATTTCAGGAATTTTATCACGAAGACGAGTTTCAATCCCCATTTTGAGGGTCATTGTTGAGCTCGGGCACGATCCGCAGGCGCCTTGGAGTTTTAATACCACAACAAGGCCATCAATCTCATGTAGAGCTACATTCCCTCCGTCGGCCATGAGCCCCGGCCTCACCTCATCCAACACTTGCTCGACGTTCTCCTCCGTCAATGGCAACACACATTTTGGGGAAACTACACAGCCTTTAAACCATCAAACACCATAGCCACGACTTACTACCAAATTCAACAACAAAACAAACTCAATCAAATATATTTCAACCAACACTAATGCACCATAATCTATAATATTACATTTTGCAGAATTTTCAAAGTTGCATGTTATTAATAATGAAATCAATGGCCGAGAAATAGGTGTGATACTTACTCGATAGATTCAAATTATAACAACATAATTTAATAAATATAACTAAATAATAACGACTTAATCTATATAATAGAAATTTAATCTAAACTAAAATTAAATATCTAAAATATCTCTAACATCTCCTCAAACTCAAATGGTATCACAGAAACAACTTGAATATACTAAAAAAAACAAAGATGATATAATCAAAATCGTCTACTGAAATCTCAATTGAAATAGAGTCAGAATCATAATTCCCTTATAATGCAGCTAGAGTTGGAAACAATATTCGCTTACAATGAAGTTAAAGTCGAAAAGATAACTCGCTAACAAAGTTAAAGTCGAAAATAATATTTTTTCACAATGAAGATAAATTCGAAACATCAATCGCTCACAATTAAGTCATAGTCGAAAACAAGGCTCTCAATGTTGTTTGAGTCGAAAACAGGACTTCGAATTAAACATAATATGGAGACAATCGAGGGCCAAACATCAAATTACAAACAAATTTGATATAAAATAAATTGGGCAAATGGGCAATTACATGCATCACAAAATTGAAAGACCCCGTATTATATTCGGGGATGATTGTACCTAGAGCACATAGTTTTGATACCATTTTAACTTTTGCATAATTTTTTTGAGTTTCTTTGTCGGATTTAGTTTGCAAACTATTATATTTGACTGGAAGTTTATTTGGACTCACTATAATAATAATAATAATAATAATAATAATAATAATAATAATAATAATAATAGGGGTAAATTATATAATACTCCCACCCTATTTTTATTTATTGTGTGAAACTCCTGTGTTGGTGTAAACTTTGCACCAAACGTCCTCCTTGTCCAAAACTGATATTTGGTTCTAAACAAAGACCTAAATAACGCAAATTTTATACAAATAAAAAATGCAAAATATCTTAAATAATTTTTTTTAATAAAATAAATAAATAAATAATTTAATAATCCTTCGTTTTATAATTTTTGAAAACAAATTGTTATATTATTTTTATAAAAACTATAAAAATAAATTATTGATCAATTATTTATTTATTTATTTTATTCAAAAAAATTATTTAAAATATTGTATGTTTTTATTTGTATAAAATTTGCTTAGTTTAAGTCTTTATTTAGAACTAAATATCAGGTTTGAACAAGGACGGCGTTTCGTGCAAAATTTACACTAACACGGGGAGTTTCACCAAACAAATAAATACATAGTGTTTAGTGCATTTAAAAAAAATAAAAAATACAAGGGGTTATTATATAATTTATCCTAATAATGATAATAATAATAATAATATAATGTAATGTAATAGATCAATAAAACACGTAAAAGTCCTCAATCAGTTGCACAAATTTACAGATCAAATAATTTCATCACATGTAATGGACGATTTTAAACAACAAATCTCCAGAAGCACATAAAAACTAATAAAAATCAATGTCTAACCAGAATTGCTGGATCGAATTTTCCTTTGACGAACTGTGCTGAATCTAAGCAGATGTTTGCTATGGAATTGGCCTCTGAGAAATGTGCTCCGCTCCGACCATGGATTCTGTAAATAAATTGCGCGATGTCAAATGAAATCGAAAATCAGAGCGATTGCCAAAATCTCGAGCATAAAATTGTTAGTTCAAATACCTGGTAAAAGGAGGCAGAGCCTACGAAGAGCCTCAAACAGTGAGAGGAAAGTGCAATCATTTTGCACTTTGATTCTCAGGTCTTAGGGATTTGCTTCAACTCCCATAAAAACTTGATTTAAGACGGCTATGGTTCGCCGGAAAACAAACTTTAGAGAGCAGAGAATTCGGTCGGAGTATTTGTTAGTTTCGATTTGCTGCTGCAAATGATGGAGAGTCGGCGCTGGTGATGAACAAAATATGAAGGAACGAGTAAGCTTGGTATTGCTATGGCTGCCATGTTTGTGGATAGAATTGTGCCGGGCGACCCATTTTGGATGGCTACGGGTCGGGTTCACCCGTCATAATCCGACCCGCCCCAAATTTGGGATTTTATTATCACTACTCGTATTTTTTTTTTATGATCTTTGGGATGAAGTAATAGGCTTTATATAATTTTTATCTAATTTTTTATTATTTAAATTTTACTTTATTCCAAAATATATATTGTTAAAAGTTAGTACTCCCTTCCTCCTAATACAATAGTGTTATTTACCATTTTTGTCCATCCAAAAACAATAGTCTTATTTTCATAAATAACCATATCACCATAAAATTACCCCTATTTTTTCATTTTTATTACACAATTGCCACTACTTTTTACACTAATATACACACAAGGGCAAAAAAATCTTTTATCCATATTTTTTACCAATTATTAATATAATATCAATATTTTTTAATTTTGTGCCAAATATTTATGGGACGGAGGGAATATAAAATAGTATTATTTAAATTCAAATTCAAATATCAAAACGTATTTAGGAGGTGTTTGGCAATGAGCTGTTAATTATTAGCTTTGAGTTAATTCGATTAGCTGGTTTAACTAGCTAAACGTATTAGTTGTTTGTGAAGTGTTTGGTAAAATAATGATTTTGTATTAATTATTTATACGTGAAAATAATTAAAGATATTTTATATATTTTTTTAAAAATATGTAGTTTAATATTTTCGGTGGATAAGTTTTTTTAGAATTTTATTATTAATTATTAAAAATTAGGAGAGGTTTATTAGAATCTTGTTTTTATTTTTTAAATGTTTTGTTAAAAATTAATGTAATTTTATTGAAATATATACCCATTTCATTAAAAAATAGTATAAATATATATATAAAAAAAAAATGATTAGTATATATTTTTATTAGATTAATTTTTAATTAATATATATTTTCATTAGACTTATAATTTTAAATAAACATATTCATTTTTTAAAAAAGAATTATACGATAAAATATATAAATAAATTAATAATATTAATATATTTATTTTATTTTTATTTTAATAAATTTAAAATTTTTATAAAAAATATTAGTAATATAAAAAATTAATTATTTTAAATTTATAAGTTATTAGAAAGAAATATATTTAAATATTTAATAATTAGTATAATAAAAGTATATTAATATATGTGAAAGAATTAATTAATTTTAAGGACAAATAAAGAATAAAAAAAATTAAAATAAAAAAGTTAATCTAAAATTATTTTCAAAATTATTTTTTTTTGGGCTCAATAAGCTAATTGAAAATACTATTTACCAAACATTAAAATTAATTGATTCACTGGTTAAATAGCTAAAAGCTTTTCAACAAGTTAAAAACTGTCGGTCAAACAGACTCTTATATTGAAAAGAAATACACATGACTCCTTATATGTGTGCTGATTTAATATTACAAGCTCTTCAAAAATATTATTTAAATATATATATATATATATATATATAATATATACAATAAAAGTTGTCGGTAAGGGATGATTTGGAATTGGGTCCTGAATTCAAACTCCGACGCCTCAGGTCACCTACCATATATAATTCACTTAGTGTTTGGAGAATTATCCCTCAAACTTTACTATTCATCTAGTTTTTTCTTTTTAAAAATATCAAATCAAACATTTATATTTTATTTTTTTATATTATACTAAAAAACAATTTTACATTTAAAATATCACATCAACACATATTTATATCATATCATACAACTATTTCAATTCAAAATTTTTATTATTGAAATCCTAACTCAAAATTCAAAAAGTTTGTTTCTTTAGTTACAAAACTCCAAGTTTTTACTATTTTGACATTGTGTTTCCCGAAAAAAAAATATATATACATTTTTTCTTCTCACAAACATCCAATCATACATTATTTTAATATCAAACTCAAAACAAAATTTTCAAAAAATTATCAAAAGAAACATACTTAAGTATTCTCTTAGCCCATAACAAAAATGTGTAAAATTATATGTTTAATTGGAAGTTTTGTTGTTTTGAATATTTACAAAAATAGTAATCCTTCAGTTCCACTCCAAAGTTTTGGAATTTTGTAATAAATTAAGAAATAATAGTATTTTATTGGTTAGTGTAAGTATATAAAAAATTTTGACATTTTTGTCCTTTGACTTTATGTATAAAGTAATTGTATGTGATATTATTTTTGTAATTTAGGTAAAAATTAAGGACATTATGATATTAATGTATGATTACTTTTACTAAAATAGTAAAAAAAATACTACATAGTGAAATTAAAAAAATGGTAAAAATGGTACATTTGAATTAGAACAGAAAAATATAATATTTACTACGTGAAATTTTATAAGTTAAAAATGACAGTGGTCTAAAATAAATAAATAAAAAAACCTCTAAAAATGACGTGTCGAGATAAAATCAAAATTCTTTTCTTTCAAATCGATTGGACAAACACAATGGCTCAAAATCAATCTATGTTCTTCCTTTTAAAATTTTATAAATAAATCACAATAGCCTCATTCTCCTTCCCCTCTCTAACATTTCTTTAGGAGTTTCTCCTAAATTCAACTCAAAGTCAAACCCTAAAGCAAAATACAAGTCATAACATATGAGATTAATTAGGTTAAACTATAAAAAATTTATCCCTTTTGAAATCCGATAAACAAACAATCAAAATTGAAATTGAAATACCCACAAAAGAGAGAGAGAGCCGTGTAAATAGGCATACCCCGACATAGAGCATCGAAGTGGGAGAGAAGAAGAAAACACAAGTCGAGACAAATACTCCTCATTTGATAAAAAATCACCTCAAAGCTCTGGCAGCCGCATATTGCTTGTTCGGCTTGCGTGTTTGAGGAATGTCCGTGTGAGAGAGAGAAGAATGAAATTGGAGAGAAATTATTTTGGCAATATCTTGATTACATTAGGCTTTTGTCTAAAGAGTTCAATTTTTTTACCTAAAATTTTAAGCCATTATGCGGTGGAATTTTGAAAACTCCGCCAAAAAATCTTTGTTGTAGAAAGGAGAGCTTCTAAGAAGTTGTCACTCTAATTGCACTTAATGTTGATTACCGTCGTAAATTTTGAATTTGCTATCATTATAATTGTAAAGAATTAGAAATAATTAGGATGTGCTCAATCAACATAAAATTTACGATATGTTTTTCAATTAATATTATCAAAAAATATATTTTCTCCGTCATATAAATATGTACTTATTTGATCGGGCGCGAGTTTTAATAAAAGTAAATAATAATTGTTATTTTTTCTTTTTATAGTAAAAAAAAGTACAAAAAATATTTTTTACTTAAAAAGAAAATAATAATATATTTTGATGACAATCCAAAAAAAAAAAAAAAGAGTATAAATTTGAATGACCAATTAGGTATATAATTCATATATTTACACAAAATATATAAGATATGTAAATATTTTATTGACTCACAAGTCAATGATTCAATATAAAATATATTTTTTTTTTTGCTTATATTACGGTTCTCATTACCAAACAAATATAAAACACATAAAATGTAAACTACAATATAAATACCCTTACAATGTGGCGTTGAAGTATTTTTTTTTTTTAAATTACTTGAATTTATTTCTATAATATCAATTACTACGTCTGTCCAAGACTAAATTTTTTATTTATATTTGGCATCATTATTTTTAACATTAAAAATATTCTTATATTTGTATAATTTTTTGTACAAATGTCGTTACATTAGTATTTTTGTCATTTTATCTTGATTCATCAACTGATAAAGTATACACATTTTTATTTTGGGTTGTCTAATTACAATCTAATTATTTTTTTAGTAACTATGAACTCTAATTTTATTAATAAAAAAAAAAAGTAAAATTATCTTTACACTACTTTTAACTATCAATTATAGTTAAAATACTATTAGTTCTCAAACTTGGTACCAAAAATAAATGTATATTTTCTGGCTGAACAGAGAAAATACTCCCTCCGTCCAAACTAAAAGTATACAATTACTTTTGGCGCGTAGATTAAGGAATAATAGTATTTTAATTATAGGGGTAGGTAAAAGTAGTAAAATGACATTTTTGCCATTACTTTTTTGGTATAAAAGTAACGATGTGATGTAAAGTAGGGGTATTTGTGGAAAAAAATGGGATATTTAATGAAATGATTACTTTGTAATTGTACGTCCCAAACTAGAAATATGTATACTTTCTAACTGGACGGAGGGAGTATTAATTTTTATGAATTAGGGATTCTTGGCGAAGCGGTCTCAACAGAAATGATCACTAAGTCTTTTACTTGTATATCACACATAGTATATTATATGTAAAGTGATATCGTAGATAAAAAATAAAGTACAATATTTGAAAATTTGTTAATTCCGCAGCGACCATGAATTTACAATACGTATAATGATCAAACAACGTACGTATTCTGAAAATAGTGGAAAATAAACACAAAATAATTATTAATCCAATTTAGTTGCACCAACCTACGTCTGGGTCCAATCCATGCAAGATTTGCTATAAAGACTATTGAAGCATGACGACTCATTTATACAATTCGAGTATCACAAAGAAATTTATACACTCAATTTCTTGAACAACCTCAATCCAAACCTATCCTTCTCGTTCTCATTTTCACATAATCTTTGATATACAGTGCACTTCACAATTTATTCTTCTTGCAATTTTTTTTTCTCGAAAAACCTTACCGCTCGCTATCAACACACGTAATTCCTCGTGATTACATTGAGATTTTTCTCTCCAAAGTCTCTCACCTCATCTATCACTATGGTCGTATTTGCCCAATTGACACATCTGAGGGAACCAATGTTGGACTTATTGGATCCTTAGCAATTCATGCGAGGGTGGGTCCTTGGGGATCTTTAGAAAGCTCGTTTTATGAAGTTTCGGAGAGATCAACAGGGTTACGAATGCTTTATTTATCTCCGGGTGGAGATGAATACTATATCTTAGCGGCGAGAAATTCGTTGGC